CTTGCAGAATGAGGAGGTACAGAAGTTTCTATCTGCTGGTTTTCTCCCCACATGGCCATATGGCCAGGGTGAAGCAAGGAGCCAAGTACTTCATCCAATCTCTTATGTGGGTGGCAGGGACACACAGTTGGGCATTTTCTGCTGCTTTCCTAGGCACTAAATCAGTAGGGTTGGATCAGAAGCAGAGCAAACATCATTCAAAATGATGCTCATATGGGATACTACCAGCATCACAGGTAGCTGCTTAAACTATTGCACCACAGTGCCAGCTGCTATTTGCTAACTTTAAGCTATGCCTCAATTTGAGGTGTTTTTTGTTTACTGAAAATAGTTTTTCAGGTTAAACAGAGGTTTTAGAGTGAATATAATAAAATACATATTGAAATTTCCAAATTGTTACCTATTTCTTGCACAAATTACTGCATTCTGAACTATTCCTTTTGCCCATTCAGCAAAATATTTGTTGAGTGCCCATGGCATTATCAGAAATGCCCTGGCATTATCAGAAAGCAAGATGCACAAAGATATCCTGCCTGCCTTTAGGGGCTTAAATTCTAGGGACAGGGCCAATAGACAGTGTGCAACAGCCATTGTAAGGAAGTGAAAGAACACACTATGTTAAGGAACAGTAAGCTACACAACTTAGAAGCAGGAAAAAATATCAAATGTTGGTGGTTAAGGGGGTTGCAGTATTAGAGACCTCATTGGAAAGATGACATGTGAGCAAAGACTTGAAAGGGGGTGAAGGATTTTGCTTGGTGATAGCACCAGGGAGAACATTCCAGCTCTTTGCACAAGCCTCCAGTTGTCCTAAAGACAGTAGAAGGCACTACAAAGAAGGGTGCACGTAAGCATGATGGTAGTAGAGGAGATCTTGTGGTGGGGTAGCTGTGTGTGACTGAGAGTAGCATCCATGTCCACCTCCACACCTTTTTCTCACAAGTCCTGAGTCTCAGCCTGTGAGGTTCTCCTGAGGCTCCAGTCCCAGCTACCCAAACTCCTTTGTCTCCTCTCAAGTTGGGCCATCATGTGCATGGGCCTAGTAAATTGTATCCACAGAGTTTCTGGTCCTTTCAATGGAAACATAGATTTGATCTAATCATTCTCTAGTAGGTTGGTTGGTTGGTTGGTTTTCCCCACAAATGAGTTACCCTCAGTCTAGCTGATCTTGCAAATATGTGGAACTTCTTTTTAAATGTGCTAATTAATGATTTTTTTCCCCCACTAACAGGAGGATGAAATTTTGAACAGATCACCAAGAAACAGAAAGCCACGAAGAGAGTGAAACAATCTTAAGAACTTGATCTGTGATCTCTCCCTCCCCTTCCCTTGCAAGTGTGGTCCTGGAGAGGACCTGGCACATCTTAGGTTGACACTCAGAAAACCTCAAGACGTCACCATCAGCAGGTCCCAGTTGAACACTAGTCTCTGTGATTTTAAACATCTAGCAGTAAATAATTGCAGTTGTGACACAAAGGACCCTGTTTGTAGAAAACATTGAACATAATGGTTGTAAGATGTAACATGAAGCAACTAACTTGTATTTTTGTTTTTAAACACTTTGTTTTTTAAGATAGAATAATAGAATTTTGCCAGTCTTTAAAACCTTGGCTTAATTTACTATATTAATCTGTCCATTCGGAAATAATACCAACTTCAGAATGCAAAGGGGGTGAATTGCAGTTTTTACAACTTTTTTTTTTTAAGTTTGGTAATTGGTGATACAAAAAACATTTGAGTGTCTCTGTCCCTCAAGACTGATGATGATCATGTCAGAGTGCAGCCATCTGTGGTGATAATCTTGTTTTGCTTGCTTCCATTGCTCAGTTCCTGCTAAGGAAATTGAGGTGAGGGATTGGATGGAAGCCTAAATTTATATAAGCATTCTGTTTAAGTTGTATTAAAAATAGACTTTAAAAAAAAAAACTTTTTCACTGGATGTTGGTTAGACCATAACGTGTGTATATTGCCTTGGGCCTGCAATGAGTGGAGGTGGCTTGGTGCCTTGGGCATGTGGAGCGTTCTGGACTGCTGCTGCCAGAGCAGATGCAGCAGGGCATGTGGGCTCCAGAGTAGATGCGCTCATCACTCTTGACTGTGTTGACACTGTTTTCCTCACCCATGTCCCCACGTTCCCAGCTCTCTCCTTTGCTATGCATCTTCACAGCGCAGCTTCCAGTCCGTTGCTGAAAATAACTATAAGCTCTGCATAGTGTTAAGCTTTATTGTGATTGCGTGTATGTTTCTTTTTTTAAAAGCAGACCCACACCTTTCCAGGGTCAAAGTACAGCATAAAATATACATTTCCATTTCTTTTACTCTGTGGAAAGACTTTAGAAGTCTGATCCAGAGGTGAGCCAATTCACAATTGACTAATTGAACACAGGATAAAAGTATTTATGAGAGGAGTGACATATAGCATGACTTATCACATTTCTGTAGCTGCTAAATATTTTAAGTCTTCATTTGAAATTCATGTAACAGTTGGGTCTTAAATTACATAATAAAGCAGTCCTTTCAATTTTTTTAACATGGTTTGTAGAAATTTTTTTTTTAAGTGATCATAGGTTTGTTTTTTCCCCGAGGAATGCAGATGGGTGCTATTGGGAATCTCCCTATCACTAGCTATCATCACACCGCATTGAAGCGATTCAGGATTCGATGGGATTTTAGCTTTAGTCTTTCTTCAGAGCATTTCAAATGTGCCCATGAAATTGTTTCTTGCACTGAATATATAAACACTCACAGTGTTTATATTGGGGATTTTTTGGGGGAAGGAAGTATATTTGTAAAAGATGAAGGTTGAACCGTTTATCGCTTAAATTCCTCTGAGGGTGGGGTGCGTTTTTGTTGCTGTTCAGTGCTTATTCTTTTCATCTGCTGTTCTGTGGTCACAGTGACCTTAGCTATGTAGCAGACTTTCCCAATGTATTGAGTGCAAATAAACAGTTACTTAGCAAGACCTGAAGTATGTCTGCCGGTTTCTCCTGGAAGCAAACTGGTGGGATCACTGCATCTCCACAAATTGTATCCTCCACTTTCTTGGAGGTTTCATTTCATTCCTCACTTTGTTCCAGCTGAGGTGAAATGACAAGTTTAGATCATTATTGTTCCTTGCTTTCCCAGCGCTATTAAGCAGAGTTGATTCAAAACAAAACAGTCGCTTGTTTTCTTTTGTTCAGTTGATTAAATGTTTGACACATTAATAGGTTAACTTATGACCAACGTTAGACTTTAGCTCTTATTAAGCAGGTTCCTATATCATTATTTTACAGGCTGGTTACTGGTCCCACTGTTGTAAAATACTCGCTCTTTAGATTATGTTCCCCAATTTTTCTTGGCCCACAGAGAATGCTTTAGATTGTCACATGACTAAGTGATGTAACATTAAAATGCTGTGTTAGCTCCTTCAGACTAACCCTCTTTATAGTCCCCATCTGTATATGTGTCTTGCTGTTTCAGTAGTGGATTCAATTTCATTGGACCACCACAGAATCTGCCAATCTCCAGAATTTGTTAGGGACAGTAAAATACCTATCACCACACGTATTTGAGTCGGTCTTTTTTTTTTTTTTCATATTTAGTTCTGGCCCCTTCCTGCCTAATTTTAGTCTAACAGTTTCTGTGTGGAATGCTGTGAGTAGTTTTGGGGTAACATGATTTACAGGTTCATTGAACATTTCCCCATCACCCCCTTTATTTGCAAAACACAGAAAGAACCTTTCCCTCCCCTCTCCCCCACCTCTTTTCTCCCTCCACATGACTGCAGCTTCGCGGGCTGGGCCAGGCCAAAGCCAAGAGCTCTCTTAAGTGCCTGGGTGCAGGCACTTTCATGGGGGGCAGGAATCCAAAGACTTAAGCTGTAATGCCAGACGGCCACTCCCAGTCAACTTCACATGATCAGGACCAGCCTCCGTGTTACTCATATACTTCCGTATTTCACAGCTATTTGGGAAGGTCATCCCCAAAGAGTATGTGCCAGTAGGCTTTCGGATTGCTTTGCTGAAATGACGCTGTGTAGTACTCTCCTAAGTTACCTTTCTTTCAATAGTTCTTTTAGAAGCAGGGCTTTCCAACTTCTACCAAGTTGTCCGCTGCGTCTGTATTTTTTTGTTCTGGCTTAGTATTTGTGGAGCAGAACAGGCCTTGATGGGGCTGGGCGGAGCCAGAGGCAGGCTGTGCGAGCTCCTGCTGTCAGTGCAGCCTCCCGGGAGCTCCTCGGTTCACCTCTTACTTGCTCCTAGCATTTCCGGCCGACCCCCTCCCACACAATGCAGCGTCGCAGAGCACTTCCTTCCTCCAGCTGCAAGTTTCCAACCTGCGGGCTGTGCTCGCAGGCCCAGCTCTATGCAGTCGGACTCCGCACATTTTCTGGGTCTTACAAGAATTCTTAACATCGGAAACTTGTTCAGGCATTGTAAATGAGACTGGCAGGCCCAGGGGCCCGAGACGGACCAAGACAGCGTCTGCCGAGTCCCCCGGCCCCGCGGCCCGTTCTGACGAGAAGGGAAAGCGGCCGGCGGTGGAATTGCGTGGCCAGATCCCGGAAGGCGGAGAATGGGGAAGCGCTGCCCGCCAGGCGGCTGGCTACGCCGCTCCGAGTCGGCCCTGCTTCCCTCGGGGGACCCGGAAGGGCCTGCCCTCGGGGGCGGCGTTCAGGAAACCTCCGGCCGCCGCTCGGACGCGCTCCCGTCAGTCACCCGAACCTGGACCTCCAGGACTCGGGCCCGCCCACCGCTCGCGCTCCAGTTCCTTTTAAATACCGCTCGGCCGCCCCAGCGTGCTTCTGACGTGCTCGTCTCCACGCCTGCGAGCGGCCCGCTGCTCCTCTCCTCATTGGTCAGAGCTTCTGTCCGTCAGCCGTGACGCGAGAGGTCACCGGCAGGAGCCCCGCCTTCTTCCGAGAGCCCCGAAAACAATTTTAAGATGGCGGCGGCAGCGGCGCGGAAAACAATGGGGTCGGGGCGGCGGGGACAGGCCGCGGCCTGAGGTGGGCAGCGAGCGCCGGCCTGGGGTCGGGCCGAGCGGGCAAGGAGGAAGGTCCGCCGCCGCGCGCGAGCCCCGCTCCGCCGCCCGCGGGGCCATGGCGCGGCCGTGAAGCGGACAGGGGCCGCGGCGGGGAGCGCAGCGCGCAGTGCCAGCCGGGCCCGGCCCGAGCAGCCCGCGGCCCATGGTGCTGCCCACCTGCCCCATGGCGGAGTTCGCGCTGCCACGGCACAGCGCGGTCATGGAGCGCCTCCGCCGGCGCATCGAGCTCTGCCGGCGCCACCACAGCACCTGCGAGGCCCGCTACGAGGCCGTGTCGCCCGAGCGCCTGGAGCTCGAGCGCCAGCACACCTTCGCCCTGCACCAGCGCTGCATCCAGGCCAAGGCCAAGCGCGCCGGCAAGCACCGGCAGCAGCCGCCCGCCGCGGCCCCGGCGCCCGCCCCGGCCCCGGCGCCGCCGCCCGCCCCGGCCGCCCGCCTGGACGCCGCCGACGGCTCGGAGCTCGGCCGCCCGGCTGCGGTGAGTAAGAGCGGCGGGGAGCCGGGCGGTTGTCATCTCCGGGAAACGGCCCTGTGACCTCGCTGTGGTCCTGGCGTGAGCCCTGGGCAGCTGAGGGGTTTATTTTGCAGACGGTTAGCAGAGGTCAAGTTGCTAGTTCGTAAGGAACTTGGAGCACTGCAGGCCTGGCTCATTTATTCGGCAGACGTTGATTGGGTCCGTGCTGTAAGCTGGGCCCGGGCTTTAATATGGAAATCAGTCGGCCTTTCAGTTCACCGAGCCAGACTACTTCTGAATGGAAAAAAAAAATAATAATAAGCCCTTCAGCGACTTGCCATGCAAGTGTTCCTTGTTTAGGCCTCACTGTGTCCTTAAGATGCCTGCGGAACTGTTGACAACTCCAGCTTTAACTTAGGAGGCCTGTGTTAACTCTTCTGGTGTTACATAGCTGCATTGGTTGGTTTCTCAGTAGGTATCGGGGAAATTTGTAAGTTTAGACGTTGTGTCTCCCTCCACCTCTCCCCCGAAATTAACTTAGAGAACATTTTTGTTTGTAATGTTCTTTGTAAGTTAAGACAAATGTAACCAATTCAGTTTGCTCAGTGTCCTTGGTCTGACTTAGGACTTCAGGCGCTGTCTGCCTTGCTCTTGAAACTGCAGGGCTGAGCTTCAGCCTTTGGGTCTGGTTTTCAGGGGCAGTGTGTCCTCACCAGTCTTTACTGCCCCTACCCTCCCATCCACTCCTCCCTGCCCCCAACACACACGCACATCTTCTGCTGTCCTCTTCCTCTGCCTCTCCAGCACCAGCACCAGCCTAGCTCCACACCCCACTTTCTTTGCTTATTGTATGCACTGCTGCAACTCTTCAGTGAACTGGGAGACTGTTGGGCTTCTTACTGCCCGCAAGGTGCCTACCTGGTTCACGACGGGTGAGTATGGGTGTAAACACACTTTCTAAACCTGAGTGGCTGCTGCTAGATGCTACCCTGCACCTTCCGGAGTCCCACCAGGTCACAGAACCCGCTCCTCCGCCCCTGCCTCTGCTTGAAAGCTGGAGTCAGACCTCTGTGGGCCCACAGCAGTCAGGATCTCCCTTTCCCTTAGGGAAACCAGTCTGAGACTTTTTTTTTAAAGATTTATTTTTATTGCAAAGTCAGATATATACAGAGAGGAGGAGAGACAGAGAGGAAGATCTTCCATCCGATGATTCATTCCCCAAGTGACCGCAACAGACGGTGCTGCACCGATCCAAAGCCAGGAGCCAGGAGCTCTTCTGAGTCTCCCATGTGAGTACAGTGTCCCAAGGCTTTGGGCTGTCCTTGACTGCTTTCCCAGGTCACAAGCAGGGAGCTAAATGGAAACAGGGCTGACCGCAGAATGCGGAGTGTCTAAACCTGACAAGCCAGCTTACTGACAGTTCTTGTGAAGTTAAGGCCTTGTAGTGTTAGAATAATAAATGTTCATGAAACTGATAGTTTCATGTGTCAGTTGCCTTGAACCTCAGCTGTGTAGTAATAATGATTCAATCTTTGGTTAAGGTGGGATTAGGGTGAGTTTTGCAGTGCTGAATTCCTGAAGAGAACCTGGGCGTTCTCTTTAGGAAGAGAATCCTGAGCATCAGCCCCTGAGTCTGGTTTCTCAGCCCTCTGGCTGTGAGAGCCTGCCATTTGCTGAGCTAAGTTGCTGTGTGACCATGTGAAGCCCTGACCCTGGACTCCTCCAGTGTAAACTGTGGGGTGGGAATTATCCTTTCGGGTCTTTGCTAGGAAGAGAACCCATTTCATTGTAGGCTCCACATGGTTTTAGTTGAGCTTCGTGGCTTTGGAATGGGCTCGCGGGAACAGAAGATGAGGATTGCTAAGGCAGCAAGGGCATTTTCCATCGCCTTGCACCTCATTTTTTAGGAGTAGGGGAGGAGAGTCCTTAATGAGATAGGACTTGGGAGATACAAAGGAGAAGGTGTCCCTTTTAATCATTATTTTTCATAACTGTGTATGTTCTAATTAATTACTCCTTGCGTTAGGAAACATTCTTTTTTTTTTCCTGTGTGTGTGGTAGTACTTTGAGGCAGTCATGTCACAGCCAGATACCAGCAAGCCACATGCATGCCTGAAGAGGGATCAGACACACTGTTGTTCACCTTGACTTCAGCTGACTGGTTCTCTTCTTGGAGAGCCCCACTGCCTGAGCCCTGAGCATCATCGTGTGCTGGAGGCAGAGCGGGCACCAAGCCGCAGGCCCTTGCCTCCTAGAGTTCTTGAGCCCTGAGCATCTATTGCCCGCTTCTGCTGGAAGCAGACCGGGGATTGAGCCACAGACTGTGTCTCCTGGTGTTCAGGGCCTCAGCCTCCAGATGTGCTCCTTAAAAACAAGGGGCAGGACTGGCAGCGTGGCCTAGCAGCTAAAGTCCTCGCCTTGAACGCCCCGGGATCCCATATGGGAGCCGGTTCTAATCCCGGCAGCTCCACTTCCCATCCAGCTCTCTGCTTGTGGCCTGGGAAGGCAGTCGAGGATGGCCCAAAGTCTTTAGGACCCTGCACCTGTGTGGGAGACCCGGAAGAAGTTCCTGGCTCCTGGCTTCGGATCGGCATAGCATTGGCCATTGCGCTCACTTGGGGAGTGAATCATCGGATGGAAGATCTTCCTCTCTGTCTCTCCTCTTCTCTGTATATCTGACTTTGTAATAAATATTAAAAAAAAAAAAAACAAGGGGCAGAGTTGCAGTGACAAGATTGACTTTTTACTGGCAGTGCTGGCTTGTGGTGAATTAGATAGTCACTGTCTCACACACTCACTTTGTACGTGAACTGGTCTTTGTAATGACTTGAACATTCTCCATCTGTGGTAAAATGCTCTTTCGGTTCGTTTCCAGTCCCACTATCCACTGTTGAGCAGAGAGAAGTTGTGTGTGTGTGATGGTTGTGGAAGAAATGGGATGGTTGCATACCAACCTCTCATGGGAACTGCCTTCCTGACTTAATTTGAAGTGTGAAATTTCTGTCTCTTCCTAAGATTTATTTATCTGAAAGTAGCAGAAAAAGATGAGCATCTATTAATTCACTCACTCAAATGGCTGCAACAAGCATGGCTGGACCAGGCCAAAGCCAGGAGCCGGAATCTCCATCCCAGCCTCCTTTGTGGGTGGTAGGGGCCCAAGTACTTGGGGCAGTACCTCCTCCTTCCCAGGGGTAATAACGGGGAGCTTCATCAGAAGCAGGACAGTTGGGATCAGACTAGCAGGCCTTGCAGGCTGAGGTATAATTTGCTAGTTCCCTTGTTCTCCCTCCTGTGTTTCCCTACCCCCCCTTGGCCTATTTGCAGTTAATTTCGACTTGCTAAAAAGTTGCACATAAAGCTGGAAGAACATCTATATATTTGTTGTGCCATTTGTGTGGGCAGTCCCTACCACCACCTTACTTTGGTTCTTGGAACCCCCTGAGGGGGCACTGAACAGTACAGGACTCTGCCCTCAAGCACCCTAGGGTATGCCTTCTGGGTGTTAAGAAAGGCATGTAAAGTTTTAGTGATTACTTTATAGATGAAATGCTTCGTAAGAATTATTCAAGTAAGATTATTGCCAAGAAGTAGATATTTTTGACTGTAACACACGTATGGTATTGTGAGATGATTTTCTTCAAAAGATGACTGATTTATCTTTAGGATCCTGTTCTTTCGCATGACATCTAGGACCTTGTCCTGGTTCTCCTTTCCCTTTCCCACTGGGTCTTCTCTTCAGCTTGGAGATGTGAGCACAGCGCTGCACACCCAGGAATCCTTGCTGCCACAGCTGCTTGCTCTCAGGGGTCCCTCTTCCTGCCCTGGCCCTTTCCTCCTGCACCCCCTCATGCCCACCTGCCTACCCTCAGTCATTTGCCTTCCCTTCCTTCCCTGCAGAGAATACCAAAGATGAAATGGCCAAACTTGTTGGCTTCTTAACTCATCATTCTTCTTGACTTCTTCCTAAGGCTCTTGGCTTCTGCTCTCTTCTTTCTTTCCAGGTTTTTGTTTCGTTTTTCCTCATTCCTCTTCCTGCCTTCTCTTAGTAATTCACATAGCATGTATTTGATTGCTTAGGCATGCAAGATGTCACCATGAACAAGAAAAACCAAAACTGTTCTCACAGAGCAAGAGAAGATTAGTAATTTTAAAAGATATTATTGAGTTTTAATATATGCTAAGCAATCACTTCTCGGCCTTTTGGTTAAGATCAAGTGAAATATATGCTAAGCAAAAATTCAGAGAGTGGGCCCGGCATGATAGTGCAGTGATTAAAGTCCTCGCCTTACACGCCCAGGATCCCATATGGGCGCCGTATCTAATCCCAGCAGTCCTGCTTCTCATCCAGCTACCTGCTTGTAGTCTGAGAAAGCAGTGGAGAACGGCCCAAAGCTTTGGGACCCTGCACCCATGTGGGAGACCCAGAAGAAGAAGCTCCTGGCTCCTGCCATTGGCTTCGGATTGGCTCAGCTCCAGCCATTGTAGTCACTTGGGGAGTGAACCATCGGACAGAAGATCTTCCTCTCTGTGTCTCTTCCTTTCTGTATATCCGCCTTTCAATAAAAATAAATTTTTTCAGAGACTAATGTGGTACCAAGTGATTGACTATACCTGCTTAAGATAAGGGCTGATAATGTGAGATGCATAAAACTTTTTCCCTTAATGTAAGTAAAATTACTGAAATCATAATAAGGTCTGAACAGCAGCCGGCAGTTCGTCATCTGAAAGCCTGAGGAAAGAGCATTCTTGTTCCAACACCTTCAGTCTGTGTGGCAAGAGAGTGCTGAGCTTATGGGAAGAACAGAAAGGTCCTCGTATCTGAAGCGGCCAGGCAGGTGCAGAGCCAGTGTGAGAGGGGCCTGGTGCAGGAGGAAGCAGTGGCAACGTGTGAAGTGGGAGCATGGCATAATCCAACTGAGGCTTTTATTTTTATTCTCATTTTATTTGAAAGGCAGAGAGACAGAGGTCTTCAGTTTATTAGTTCACTCTCAGAAAACCTAGTGCAGGCTGAAGCCAGGCCCTAG